AATATGTTAATGGAGTCTGTGTTATCAATGATTTTCAAACTACATTCCGTTTAATGATGCAGGATATATATTAATATAAATCATATAATATTCAATCTGTATAACCTATTAAATTTTAAATTATTTATAATTTATATAGGTATTAGCTTAGCCATTAGGTAACTGCAACCTAGCTACTTGACATTTAAAACGTTTTCTAACTAAACAAAAGCAGTTGTCGGTTACATTTCAATGTCAGCTTTAAATTTTAGTTACCTACCTACTTATTTTTATATCCAGTTAAGTCTGTATGTATAGTTATTGAATATTTTACCTTTCATTTGCATAATAATTATTAGTCGGACATGATCCAATCTCCTTTTCTATATCAAATTACCGTAGAATTTAAAATCTTAAAATAGCAAGTTAATTGCGAAGTTAATTTAACCATATTTAACTATATAAAAAATGTAAAAATTGAAAAGGCGGACAAGTAGATACCGCTCTGCCATTCATTAATTGTTGATTGAGTCACTGTAATGATTATTTTAATTCCATGATAAATCATTGAATATGAAAAACGATTATGATTATTTAGCCAATACTATAATTGCTATATTTTATAATATTATTGTTATATTTCAGTAATTTTAGCATAGAATATTGTATTTGTCAAATGTCTATAAAAAAAATGAGCTTATGTATTAATATAAATATATGTATATTATTAGAGTGTCTCACGATGATCTGGCATATTGAATAACTTATGTTGTATTCGATATTTAAAATTCATATGTATATATATAGAATTCATAGACACGTGCACTAAAGTTTTAGTATATTTATTTTTATTTATTATTTTTTAATGCTGAAATATTTTGAATTAATAATTTAATGCTTAAAAATAAATTCAAAATAACCTATTTGTAAATCTCATTATAAGAATAATTTTAACAGTAAAAATATTTATCTAAGTCAAGCAGTTTATTTTTTAAAATTTTTTTGGTTAAATTAATTTTGAACGTAATAATTTATTTAAAAAATTATTTTTGAGAATTTACTAATATGAGTATATTTCTTAAATTATTTAGGTACTTATCAGTTATCATATAATACTAACAATTTTTGTGGTAAGTTTAATTCGCATAACTTTTTTTTCGGATCTTTCTGAGACATCTTGTATAAGATTTTTGATTTTAGTCGGTAGTTACGAGAAACCTTGTATTAAATTTATTAAATTTCAAACCTTAGTTAAACAAATTAGCTGAAAATTTTATAAATTTTCGTTATTTTGACAAATCTTGTCAACATTTAACCGCGTTTTAAATGCACTAAAAATCCATACCTATTTGCATATTATGTATATGTATATTGAATATTTTTTAATAACTTATCTACCTAAAATTATAATCAACAAGTTCATTATAATATGTTGTAATGTTTATATTTGAAAAACTTAAGTGTAAATTTACAGTTACCTTTTAAATGTGATTGAGATTAGAATTTTGAATAAATATTAAAAATTAGCAAATTATTATGTTACACAGTTAAAATTCATAACATTTTGAATACTCATAAACAGGCCCGGATTAAGATCTACAGTGCCCATAGGCTGTAAAAAATTTGGTGACCCTATTTAAAAAAAATATTGTACTCATTTCTCTACTCGATACTTGATTAAATAATAAAATACTATTTTAGGTTTATTAACCACAAATTGTGGCCCACAATATGTACATGTATATAATATATTAATATGTGAAAACAAGTAAAAACATAAAATTAAAATTAAATAAAATACATTTTAGATTAATAAAAATATAAAATAATCATATTATAAAAAACCATTAATTTATACTTTTCTTTTTCTTGCTTTTTGATAGGCAAATGTGTTAATAGTATTAAAATCTAATTTTTCAACCCCAATAATTCTGCTTCAATGCTAAATATTGCTAATGTATTCAGCTTTTCCTCCTTCATGGTTGACCTCAAATAGGATTTTACTCTTTTAAGGACTATTTCAAATTTCCGATATATTTAAACAAAAATTTAAAATAACATCAGGATAGTATGCGGTGCCGTGCCCTTAAATCCGTGGTTGTGTAGGCTGAAGCCTATACACTGCTTACGCCTTAATCCGGGCCTGCTCATAAAGCTTAAAATCCTAAAACATATGGTTCCATATGCAAGCACCGAGTTAAGCACTATAAACTTACCTCAAATGTTATGTAATAGGTATTAGGTATATATTTTCTTTTAATAAGTTTCATTTTACATATAAATATATCATTCATTGTATTCTTTCTGTGTCTAATCAATCTAAAGCATTCTTATCATTACTCCTTTCCGTAAAATTAGGTAAAGATTTATTCAAATTAGAAACTGCTTGTATTACTATAGGTTCGTGATTTGTATTATTGTTTGTAATGAAAACAAGTTCATCGCAGGATTTTATTTTGTTGTATTTATTATTTCAAAACAAAAGCGTTACTTAGTACTGTCTACTGACCTCAAAATCTAATGTTATGTTACTATAATCTCTATGATTTTCTTTATAGTCTTCAGTTCTAACATAATTTGTTTCAGTGTATCCATAGGAAATAATAGAGGGGATGGTCTGTAAGGGACTAAGCTTTTTTTATATAATTCAAAGAGTATTAATCGCACAATTATTATAATCTTCTACACACTGAATGAAATTCTCATTATATTTAGACTAGCTATTTATAGGTATTTAAACATTTTTTATGTTTTTGATTATTTTATTTTCTTACAAAATTGTTGTGCTTTTAAATGAATTTTCGTAATAGTATGTTAAATATTATTGTATTTGTACATAATATTATACCACTAAGGTATATAACTAATCTATGAAATCGATGATTGTCAATATTATGATTTTATTGTAAGTAACGTATGGTTATTTACCATTGATCAAAGACCATTTACATTTTTTTAGTACCATGAAATCTTACTAGGCTGGTTCTACCAGCCAATTTTTAACAAGTATTTCATAGCTACAATCAACATACACTTATTAATACGCACGTATTACTCATTTGGGTTAATGAAGCAAAAAAAGTTGTTTTATTTCAAACAATGTTGATTTTGAACAGGGTCCTTAAAATGTAGGTAATTGATAAATATTTATTTAAATTTTTTAGTCTATTAATTAAGATAGGTATAGGTAAATAGGTTTACTTCATTAACTCTTAATGGGCTTTTTAAATTATCTAAAAAATTGTTATACATGTAATATAAAAACATTTACCTATAAAATATAAATGTACCTAACCTAATATAAATGTATTTAATACAAAGCATATCTTAAAACAATTAAACTAGAAATTATACACTATTTATAATATAAATTATTATTAACATGATTATTTTATTTTTATCACAGACAATGTCTTATTTATTCTATTCTAAATTTATAAGTTTTTAAATGGTAATACCCCAATCTTCTTTAATTAGATCTGATCCTTTTTCAGCAATCATGATAGTTGGTGCATTAGTATGTGCGGATACAATTTCAGGCATGATTGAAGCATCAATTACTCTTAGGCTTTGCAACCCATGGACTCTTAACCTTGGGTCCACCACAGCTGTAGGATCTCCTATCGGTCCCATTTTACAAGTTCCAGCCAAATGATATATGGTAAACGTCAGGTGTCTGGCTGCACACTTCCAATAATCGTCTGAGTCAAATTGAAAATGTTTACAACCTGGTATTGGCTCATTCCATAATGTCGCATCAATACGTTTCATAACATCCGTTTGTGATAATTGTTCACTTTTTCTTACACCTGATACTATTACATCCAAATCTCTTTCGTCAGAGAAATAATTTGGGTAAATCGCTGGATATCGAAATGGGTTACGGTCTTTTAATTCTATCCATCCTTTGCTTTTTGGTCTCATAATCATTGGAAATATCATGTATGTATTTTTTTGTTCTGTATTTTTAAAAACACTGTTGTATACGTTATCATTAATGCCAAATGATTTTCTAAGCGTTTCATCTGAGCTCACAGCGCCATTTATAAATAATAACTCCAGATCAGCATGACCATCTACATCATTAGGACGATTCAAGTCGAAGAAAGCCAGTGCTTCGGTTCCTCCGGGTATTGATATAGGCCCCGAGTGATATTTGAGGAAATCGTGCAGATTTTTGGGATTTTCCAAAACCCTTTGCGTTTTTATTGAACTTGTATCGTTTACAACAAATGTTAGTCCACCTAATGCGACATGATCCATTAAATTACGGCCTACGTGTAGATCGCGTAAAACATTTATACCTTTTGATATCAAGTGATCTTTTGGCCCGATTCCTGACAACATGAGTAATTGTGGAGAATTGATGGCTCCGGCTGAAATTATAACTTCTTTGTGTGCAAAAACTCTATATTTTTTGTTTCCTCTGTAGTATTCTACTCCAATTGCTCTACTGCCAGTTTTATCAAACAGTATCCGAGTTACGTGACTTTTTTTTTTTATATATAAATTTTTTCGTTTGCGAATCGGATGGAGGAATGCTACGTTGGTGCTATATCTTAATCCGTTTTTCATAGTCAATTGGTGAAAATTAAATCCTATTTGATTTTTTCCATTTAAATCTCTTACAGGATATTTAAGCTCATATCCTGACTGAACAAATGACTTAGCTAAAATACTCTTATATGGTGATTCTGATATTGAAAGGTAGCCTCCCTCTTGATGGAAACCATAATCTTGAAGAGTGATATTTGCATCTTCTGATTTAAGAAAATATTTAAATACTACGTCTGCATTCCAGCCTAAAATATTTTTAGTGGAATAAGTTTTATTTATAAAACATTTTTTATATAATTTTTAATCTTACCAATATTTCCTGCGTCAGCCCATCCATCGTAATCTTTTTTGTTACCCCTTGTATATATCATATAGTTAAGTACGCTTGAACCTCCCATTACTTTACCTCTTGGATAATTGCACTGCCTGTTTACATGACCTAAAACATTGAATTTTATTTTTAGGTGGGTTTTGTGGATCGACCAAGAGAACAACAGTTGTTGGTGGTTGGGCATGGGCTTGGTGGCTTATTACAGATGTTCAATATCTATCTCTTGAGGTGATTATAATAATTAGTAATAACTGTGTAATTTATGTTTATTTATTTAAACATTTTATGTATACTTATATATAAATATATGTATATTTGTTTTAGGTTATGACTTTAAATCCCATGTGTGAATCTGTTGAAACCGTTCATGGAGTTCCGTTAACTGTAACAGGAGTAGCTCAATGTAAAATAATGAAAGCGGACGAACTCCTACAAACAGCATCTGAACAATTTCTTGGTCGAACTACCAAGGAAATTAAACAAACTGTGCTTCAAACTCTAGAAGGTCATTTAAGAGCTATATTGGGTACTTTAACAGTCGAAGAAGTGTATAAAGATAGAGATCAATTTGCATCTCTTGTAAGAGAAGTAGCTGCACCTGACGTTGGTCGTATGGGAATTGAGATATTATCATTCACAATAAAAGATGTTTTTGACGATGTTCAATATTTAACTTCACTTGGAAAATCTCAGACTGCAGCAGTAAAAAGAGATGCAGATATTGGAGTTGCACTTGCCAACCGTGATGCCGGTATAAGAGAAGCTGAATGTGAAAAGTTGGCGATGGATGTAAAATATGGAACAGACACAAAAATTGAAGATAACTCAAGAATGTTTAAGCTTCAAAAAGCTAAATATGATATGGAAGTTAACACTGCAAAAGCTGAGGCACAGTTAGCATATGAATTACAAGCAGCTAAAATAAGGCAAAAAATCAGAAATGAAGAAATACAAATTGAAGTAGTTGAACGAAAGAAACAAATTGAAATTGAAGTACAGGAAGTTGAACGTAGAGAAAGAGAACTGAATTCTACTGTTAGACTGCCTGCTGAAGCTGAAAGTTATCGCGTTCAAGCAATTGCTGAGGGAAAGAGGTAAAATAACGTCAACTATTAATTTAAAAAACTAGAATATGTATTGTTTATTATTTTAGATTCTGAGCGGAGCGATGAATGTATTGATTTTACCATGATGTGTGTTTTTTTTTGTGTGTCATCACGTTTTGGGGCAGTAAAAGTGCTTCGATTTTTTACTTCAGTACCTCGTTCGATCAGAAAGTGAATCTAGTTGGTACTTTGGGGGGTCAAAAGTAAAAAATTCTTAATACTTTTCTAAATAATCGAGAAAAACAAACTAAAAATTAAGGGAAAACGGGAAATTTTACGCACACTCTTTTTC